AGTATGTTCGTCTGCAACGCTGCGCCTTGGTCCTCATCTCTTACCGACGATCGGAACAGAAGATCCCACCAAAACTGGACCAAGCAGCGTGTCCAGGAGCCATCGCCAGGGGAATCGCTAGCAGATCTCCGTGGCAACCTCGACTGGGTCAAGCCTAGTGAGGAGCAGAGAGGGTGGACTTGGGAACAGTGGAGGAAGAGCTTCGACTGGGTCAAGCCAAATGAGGAGCTGAATGGCGGGAGTTGGAAGCAGAAGAGCGAGAGTTGGGCGAGAACTATAGAGGCCTGGCCCACGGGGAAGAGAGACCCCCAGAAAATTTTTAGGGGGGGGCTCACGACGTCGGGGCAGCAGGAGGCCGCGATAGAGCGGCCCAGCGGGTTGGCAGAGGAGGCCGCCAGGTTACGGGGGCCACTGGTCGAGGAGGGGATGGAAGGTGTAGAGGCACGGCGAGAGGTACTGGGGTGTGTTACCAGTCCGGTCCGGCCCGTTCCAGATCCCGGTGTAGGGCCAGTGGTGTGTGTCCCCAGTACGGTCCGGTCTGTTCCTGCTCCCCGCACCAAGTGTACGGTGCGCGTCACCAGCCCAGCCCGGCCTGTTCCTGCCCCTCGCACCAAGCCTACGGTGCGCGTCGCCAGCCCGGCCCGGCCTGCTCCTGCCCCTCGCACCAAGCCTACGGTGCGCGTCGCCAGCCCGGCCCGGCCTGCTCCTGCCCCTCGCACCAAGCCTACGGTGCGCGTCGCCAGCTCGGCCCGGCCTGTTCCTGCTCCTCGCACCAAGCCTATGGTGCGCTTCGCCAGCCCGGCCCGGCCTGTTCCTGCTCCCCGCACCAAGCCTATGGTGCGCGTCGCCAGCCCGGTCCGGCCTGTTCCTGCCACTCGCACCAAGCCAGGGGTGCGAGTCGTCAGCCCGGTCCAGCCCGTTCCTCTTCCACGCACCAAGCCAGGGGTGTGTATCGTCAGCCCGGTCCGGCCCGTTGCTGCTCCACGCACTAAGCCAGGGGTGCGCATCGTCAGCCCGGTCCGGTCCGTTCCTGCTCCACGCACCAAGCCAGGGGTGCGCATCGTCAGCCCGGTCCGGTCCGCTCCTGCTTCCCGCACCAAGCCAATGGTGCGCGTCGCCAGCCCGGGTCGGCCCGCTCCTGCTCCTCACACCAAGCCAGTGGTGTGCGTCGTCAGTCCAGCACGGCCCGTGCCTGTTCTCCACACCAAGCCAGTGGTGGGCGTCGTCAGTCCGGCACGGCCCGTGCCTGTTCCACTGGTGCCTGGTCCGGCACCGGTCAGATGCGTTACGCCGGAGCTAGAGCAATCCGCTCCATCAGTGTGCAGTCCAGCTCCGGCCAGCGGGGCCAGACCGGACCAGGGGTACTTTGGGGGGTTGGAGAGGGAGTGGGGATCAGGCCTGGAGCCGGATCCGCCGCCAAGGCGGAGTGCCCACCCGGTCCCTCCCCTGTGGTATTTAGTTGGCGCGGTCGGAGTCCGCGCCTTTAGGGGGGGGGTACTGTCACGCCCTGGCTCTGGGGACACTGTTATGTTGAGCCAGGGTGTGTAGATCTATGTATTCCATTTCTATGTTGGCCAGTGTGGTTCTCAATCAGAGGCAACGAGTGTCAGCTGTGGCTGGTTGTCTCTGATTGGGAACCACATTTAAACAGGCTGTTTGCCCACAGTGGTTGTGGGATCTTGTTCGTGTTGGTTTGTGTTTGACCATTGACTGTCACGTTGTCGTTTTGTTGTTTTTTGATCGTGTATCATAAATAAAGAGTATGTTCGTCTGCAACGCTGCGCCTTGGTCCTCATCTCTTACCGACGATCGTGACAGGGATTGACTGATCTTTGGGTAAAACTATTTGTACAGTTTAAAACAGTGAACAAAAAACGTTAAGAAAACACACACACACACAGTCATTGACCATCTGTCTGTCTCCCTGTCTGTCTTTTCATATAGCTGACAGGTCAGATAGCAGCACAAACACCTCGGACCTGGAAGACCAGCTCTTCCTTTCTGTGAGCAACATAACTGGAAGCAGGAAGTAACAACCAGGAAGTGCCAAAGGGACAAGTATCCATCCATCTGTACTTTGGCTGGAGGAACCAACCACCCTGTGAATTTAAATGCAGAAATATAAAATATAAAATAAAAAGATAATGTTTGAAGCATGCCAGGTGTGAGGAGAGAATATAGTGAAGGACTGAGGACTTGAGGGGGTTGTTGGACATGACAGCAGGGCTCCACGCTGACCTTTTTTACAAGGAGCACGTGTGAGCTTAAGTTGGAAAATATAGGTGCACATAAAGAAAGGTAGGAGCACAATGAAAAATATTTGAGGTAATAAAGCTAGAATCCTTCATGTTTCTAGGAGCACTGGTGCTCCTAAATAAAAACATTCCAGGTCACATGGTGAAATATTTAGGAGCATATGCGAGTAAACTGGTCGCACTGTAGAGCCCTGGACAGGCCACCCACCTGTGCTGAATTTCAAATTGAACCCCACACACACACCTTAGGGAGAATATTTAATTACTTTTCAATTCCTCTCAGATCTTCAGGAGTTGCTTGGGTGTAGGGGCTAGGGTTCAATATTGAAGCCTGCACTAGTTTGCAGGTATGGAAGGGGAACGTGACGTGAATGAGACCCAAGAATTTCACCAACAGGATATCAAGACTTTCTTTATATGACATGATGTGTGGCAAGCTTTTTTTGGACCCTTAATATAAATACATTTTCCTTTAGACCTTTAGTATTGGTATGTTTTAATTTGGGGATTGGTAGCTGTAAAATAGCTACTACTATTGAATTGATTGCTACCTCCAGTGCTGTTGCGTGTAATAGCTACTACAACTAGCTATGGCTTTAAGGGCACAACATGAGACGTTAAATTAAAGTTACAGCAACAAACAATGGAAGACATTGTTCTTCATTTCAATGTTCACCATTTCACTTAGACTGTCATTCTGCAAAGCTGTGCCAAGCTAATTGTGTCAATGGAAATTGTAGACGGAGCTTAAAAACAGTGGTCATTTAATAAGTATATCATTATTTGTTTTTGGTGAATGGTCTGTGTCACATGCCAGTGACTAAATGAATATGTTCATAATAGTACAACTGAACGAGGTGCTCCTATGCTGTGTTCACTCTTGTACCCTTTTCACACCACTGAGCCGAGCTGTGCTGTACAGCCCTGGTTACACATCCACCACAGTCTATTTATTTCTTTATTTTTATTTCACCTTTATTTAACCAGGTAAGAAGCCAGTTGAGAACAAGTTCTCATTTACAACTGCGACCTGGCCAAGATAAAGCAAAGCAGTGCGATTAAAAACCACCACAGTCTAACAGAGCCCAGCTGTACTGGGCTGGCCCGGTTACACAATGGTGGATTGGTGCTGTACAGGACAACGTAAAAAGAAACAATCCAAGCCAGCACAGTACCATTTGCATTGGCACAATAGTATTCTATATATTTTGTGCTATAGTGGTGAACACACGTCCTGGTGTGGTGAGTTGTAATGGCCACTAGGTACCGCTAGGGGGCACTGTTTCACATATTGGTACTGTTGCTACATATTGGTACAGGGAAATCACAGCCATAGGATACACCATAAACACTGACATATTTAACTATCTGCATTGACCCTTTTTGCACTAACTCTTTTGACTCATCACATACACTGCTGTTATTGTTTATTATACTTTACCCCTACCTACAGTATATGTACATATTTACATTTTAGTCATTTAGCAGACACTCTTATCCAGAGCGACTTACATTATTATTATTTTTAAAAAATCATACTGGCCCCCCTGTGGGAATCGAACCCACAACCCTGGCGTTGCAAACGCCATGCTCTATCAACTACATCCCTGCCGGCCATTCCCTCCCCTACCCCTGCACATCGACTCGGTACTGGTACCCCGTGTTTATAACCAAGTTATTGTTACTCATTGTGTATTTATTCCTTGTGTTATTATTTTTCAAATGAGATCTCTGTGAGAGCCCACAGCTACCGCTCAATGAAGAACCTAAAGCCACCACACCAGCTGAGAGTAGGACTAGATTAAGTGACACGTTCAAAGTTCTGTTGAACTTGTTCAAGGTTCCGTTCAACACACGTTTTACTCGTTTAATGTTACCACAGCTTTGATTGCCGTTGCTAAGAGAACACTTTAGAACTTTAGTGGTTTTCACGATAGCTGAAGAGTGGTAGCCTAATACAGACCAGGGTAGCTGAGTGGGAATTGCCATGCTTTGTTGTTGGGTCTGTTGTAAACAAATTGGAGTGTGGTTTGAAATGTAAACAATAATGAGATTACTACTTTTTCCTGACTTGATGACTGCAATGACAGTAACATATTCCACTCAGCTATTCTTCAAACTGCTGATGTTCTCCTCAAAACTGTCCTGTCATCTTTACTTCTTTCTTTATAAACATATGGCCCAACTTCCTTGCTTTTGTACTTGATGTTTCTACTTTTCAAGAGGATTTAGAAGCAAAACCTTCACTCTACTGTTGTTATTGGTACTAGGCTACAAATGTTGCACCACTCACCTGCTGCTCTGCCAATACTGTTTGAAGGTAGGTAAATGGCACAAGACAACAGGTAAGTGGTGGGAGACAGTATAGCCAAGTGGTGCAAGACAGTAGGAAAGTGATGCAGAAAGCACAAAAGTGACACGAGACAGTAGATCAGTTGCTTCCACCAGTAAAAAGTAGAAATAACAAGTTTAGCTCCTCCTCCTGCTGCTGTAGACCCTCGTCTTTCAAAACCCATTAAATTATGCTTCTGTGTATTTCAGATGACGTTGCGTGATTCACAGCCAGTTGTGCTTGTTAAAAGCTACTGTTCCTGTGTGGCTGGGGTGTGGGATATGCAATCATTTGGTTGCATTACTATATCAGACCACCCATTACTCTGAATGTGGCATGTCTGTCGTCCCTCCTGTACTTTCGTGCACTGAAAACAGAGCAGAAGTGGCATAAACCACCAACAATGGTTTGTATCATTTCAATACCAGACAGTTGTGTGTCACATGCATACTAGCATCTCTCCTAATACCATCTCATAAATAAACAGGGAGTGAAGCCAGGACCTGTGGATGCCATGGTTGTAGTGAAGCCCAAACCAGATGCTACTCCGGCAAGCGGAATTAGGTATGCAGAGTCCAATTAAATAGGCAGACCTACAATGTGTTGCGAAATAAATGTTATTAATCGCTGTTAGAATCTGGTGTATTTCCTAGTGAACCCTTTACTTTTCCTGATATTGTTATTCCAGATCTACACTTTACAAAGGCTACAGCGGTGAGCTACCAGACCCATCAACCCTCAACCCACTTCCTGCCTATGCTGACATGGAACCAGACTCTCTTCCCCTTATCTGCAGAATGAACATCACATCTGACAAACCACTCGTGGACTCCATTTTTGGCAAGGTACAAACTGGCAGTATCCTGTCATATCAACACCCACCACCTCCACCTGACAGTGTTGTCATCCATAAGGATGCACCACCGTTCCCAAAAGTGCCACTGGACGGTTACCATTTACAACCAACAGACTGTTCATACGAGATCGTGACGGATCAAGAAAAGCTTCACCTCAGTTCTCTATCTGTGACTTTGTCACAGTCACACCTGATTGAGGAAGCAACCAGATGCCAAAGTGAAACACCCGAGTGGCATTCACTGAGGAAGGAGAGAGTGACTGCTTCACATTTCCGGGAGGTAAGCCATGTTAGAGGTACAAGCACAGCAGAAAAACTGGCAGAAAGAATTATCAGAGGGACAAGACAAACACCACTAATGAAAAGGGGGCTGGAAATGGAAGCAGGTGCATTGAAGGACTATGCAGTTCTAAAAAATCTTAATCTGACAAAGTATGGGCTAGTCGTGCATCCGGACGCACCTTGGCTGGGTGCATCGCCTGATGGGCTGGTATATGACCCACTTGAGCGACCATCATTTGGTCTAGTTGAAATGAAATGCCCAAATGTAGCCAGCTAGATAGACTGCAAGTTCCTGAGATTTTACCATGGCCTACACAAATTGAAGGAAAACCATTGTTATTATTGGCAAGTCCAGGGACAGTTACTTTACTCATCCCGAGGGAAATTCAAGGTTTCAAGTAGCTTACAACAACACACATCACACATGCAACATTTAAACAGATAATAATACTAGTCATTGTTGACAGCTCAAATACATAGGCCTATATATTAAACACATTGGACATTTTAATTTACCTTGTGAAAAACCTTATGTCATCATCAGATCCAGCAAACCGCTCCAAGCAGAACTTGCTGCTGATAGTGACCTCCTCAATTATATTTCGGAGCCTTGCTATCTCTACACTAAGTTCTTCATTGTGGTCAAGGGACATATCCAGCGCAGCAGGTTCAGTACTGTTGCAGTAGTCATGGTCAGGAGGACAGTCCAATTCCACAGACGGATCATTCATGGTTTCTGTGTTGGGACGCTCGGTCCTTTCCCAAAATTCCGGGCCGCGGGGCTGGAAGACTGAAATTGTTCCATTGAAACAGCACTGGAACAGCTCCCCTTCTTCAGACGTCTGCGCCCAGCTGGAGTCGGAGGCTCTATCACATCTTCACTTAGAAAGTGTCGGCTGCAGACCCGTGTGTTTGTTGTAAGAAAGTTGACTCGTCGAATGTTAATCACCCACCGTTTATGTAATTCACTGTCTTTGGGAAAAGTATATTGCAGAATTGTAGAATTGCATCTGGCAGACACTGTACATTGCGGCACACAGCAGTGATGGCTGGAAGAGCTGTCATCCCGTTTTTGAAAGGACACTTTCGTACGTTTACACGTCATCGTGTTATAAGTCAAGACGAAGTATTACAAGTAAAAACATTAACATAAACATTAATATAAACAACAACAACGACGAAAATTTACCATTTCGGATGTTTTTGACGACAAGCATTCAATGCTAGCATACGGTAGCACAGCATTCTACGATAACCGGAAGTTTACATCCATCCTGAGATTTAACCGGAAATACGTCATGCTCTCGCCTGTGCATATCGCCTATACAGCAGATATTTGCCACAATACCTCTCATCCATGACTGAACTTTCCCTTAGGCACAGATCTAGGATCCGATTCCCTCCCCAAATCCTATACTTTAATTTAACATTGGTTGGACTGAAAAATATCTGACCCTGTAGTTGTGTCATTCTTTTGGAAAGGACCACTAAGAAAATTATAATAATAAATTATCCTTTTGTTTTCGAACGTTGAGAACAAGATTTAGTGTCTATGTTTAATTGAGAGAAAATTCTGTAAGACTTGCTTTATAACTTGTTATAAGTATGTATGAGCCTTTATAATATCTTATGAGCCTTTTATAATGTATTGTGAATTTGTCTTCATGCAACATATTTTATTAGAGTTAGAAGTGCTGCAGCTACAACCCAATCACTGAGAACTGAGAGCCTCTCTCTAGGACAAGTCGTCGCTCTCCCCTCCCTCACACAAGGCCCAACTATTGGACAGCATTCTAACTATTCAGTTCTGATTTAATACAATATAATGTTCTGTTAAATTCTGTGATTTATACAGTGAAGACCGCTTCTCCTAATCTCCCTTTCAGTCTACAAGGAGAAACTTACTGGCCTTGAATGGAATGCAGAGCTGATTTCATCACAAAGTGCTGCATATTTCAAACTTTCACATCCATTGACTTTTGTCCCTAAACGGTATAATGCTGTAATTTGTCCCTAAAGCTGTAATTCTTAGAGACAGCTTATAGAAAGATAGGCCTTCTCACGGGATGTGTTTGTATTGTCGTGATAATGAAAGCAGAGAAAGCAGCGACAAGGGAAGTAGAACTCAACAGTCACCAGGGAAGTAGAACTCAACAGTCACCAGGGAAGTAGAACTCAACAGTCACCAGGGAAGTAGAACTCAACAGTCACCAGGGAAGTAGACTCAACAGTCACCAGGGAAGTAGAACTCAACAGTCACCAGGGAAGTAGAACTCAACAGTCACCAGGGAAGTAGAACTCAACAGTCACCAGGGAAGTAGAACTCAACAGTCACCAGGGAAGTAGAACTCAACAGTCACCAGGGAAGTAGAACTCAACAGTCACCAGGGAAGTAGAACTCAACAGTCACCAGGGAAGTAGAACTCAACAGTCACCAGGGAAGTAGAACTCAACAGTCACCAGGGAAGTAGAACTCAACAGTCACCAGGGAAGTAGAACTCAACAGTCACCAGGGAAGTAGAACTCAACAGTCACCAGGGAAGTAGAACTCAACAGTCACCAGGGAAGTAGAACTCAACAGTCACCAGGGAAGTAGAACTCAACAGTCACCAGGGAAGTAGAACTCAACAGTCACCAGGGAAGTAGAACTCAACAGTCACCAGGGAAGTAGAACTCAACAGTCACCAGGGAAGTAGAACTCAACAGTCACCAGGGAAGTAGAACTCAACAGTCACCAGGGAAGTAGAACTCAACAGTATCTACACGTTTTCCAGTATCAATGTACAGTATTGTCAAGGAGGGAAATGTATGTGTGCGTGTGTTCGCTCGGCTACCCCTTCCCACCTCTCCCTTGACTGTGGATCCCTTCACCAGGATCAAAGTCAATGACTGGAGTCACCAAGGGCTGCATAAGGTCTCTGTGTGTGTATGTGTGTCTCTCTCTCGCTCACTCTTTCTCTCTTTCTCTCTCTGTGTGTCTCTCTCTGTGAGTGTGTGTGTGTGTGTGTGTGTGTGAGTGTCTCCCTTCAGATTAGTGTGCTAATTTTAACCTGCCTCTCATCACTAGGCTAATCTGTAGCTGAGATCTGAGGCCATACGGAGATGTTGCCTTCATGATCCTGATTCTGTTGGGATTCCTCATGAGGTGGGAATGCTGTTAAGGTTGGTTATAATGCATTGTAACACTTGTTATGAGCATGTATGAATCCCTTATAATGTGTTATATTTCATAATGATCCTGACTACATACAGGCTATTTTGAGACTGTCGAAAATGTTGAGACATAACTTAAGTCTAGTATAAGCCTTACTATCATGGTCCTCTGTAGTTCAGTGGTCCTCTGTAGTTCAGTGGTCCTCTGTAGCTCAGTGGTCCTCTGTAGTTCAGTGGTCCTCTGTAGCTCAGTGGTCCTCTGTAGCTCAGTGGTCCTCTGTAGTTCAGTGGTCCTCTAGTTCAGTGGTTCTCTGTAGCTCAGTGGTCCTCTGTAGCTCAGTGGTCCTCTGTAGTTCAGTGGTCCTCTGTAGCTCAGTGGTCCTCTGTAGCTCAGTGGTCCTCTGTAGCTCAGTGGTCCTCTGTAGTTCAGTGGTCCTCTAGTTCAGTGGTTCTCTGTAACTCAGTGGTCCTCTGTAGTTCAGTGGTCCTCTGTAGTTCAGTAGTCCTCTGTAGTTCAGTGGTCCTCTGTAAATCAGTAGTCCTCTGTAGTTCAGTGGTCCTCTGTAGCTCAGTGGTCCTCTGTAACTCAGTGGTCCTCTGTAACTCAGTGGTCCTCTGTAGCTCAGTGGTCCTCTGTAGCTCAGTGGTCCTCTGTAGTTCAGTGGTCCTCTGTAACTCAGTGGTCCTCTGTACTTAGTGTCCTCTGTATCAGTGGTCCTTGTAGTTCATGTCCTCTGTAACTCAGTGGTCCTCTGTAGTTCAGTGGTCCTCTGTAACTCAGTGGTCCTCTGTAGCTCAGTTGTCCTCTGTAACTGAGTGGTCCTCTGTAGCTCAGTGGTCCTCTGTAGTTCAGTGGTCCTCTGTAACTCAGTGGTCCTCTGTAACTCAGTAGTCCTCTGTAACTCAGTGGTCCTCTGTATTCATGTCTCTATAGTCATGGTCCTCTGTACTTAGTGTCCTCTGTAGTTCAGTAGGTTCTCTGTACTAGTGGTCCTCTGTAGTTCAGTGCCTCTGTAATTGAGTGGTTCCTCTTAGCTCAGTGGTTGCTCTGTATTCAGTGTCCTCTGTAACTCAGTGGTCCTCTGTAACTCAGTAGTCCTCTGTACTCAGTGGTCCTCTGTATCAGTGGTGCTCTTAACTCAGTGTCCTCTGTAACTCAGTGGTCCTCTAACTCAGTGGACCTCGAGTTCAGTTCCTCTGTAGCTCAGTGGTCCTCTGTAGTTCAGTAGTCCTCTGTAACTCAGTGGTCCTTTGTAACTTAGTAGTCCTCTGTAGTTCAATAGTCCTTTGTAACTCAGTGGTCCTCTGTAACTTAGTAGTCCTCTGTAACTCAGTGGTCCTCTGTAACTCAGTGGTCCTCTGTAGTTCAGTGGTCCTCTTTAACTTAGTAGTCCTCTGTAGTTCAGTGGTCCTCTGTAACTCAGTGGTGCTCTGTAACTCAGTAGTCCTCTGTAACTCAGTGGTCCTCTGTAACTCAGTGGACCTCTGTAGTTCAGTGGTCCTCTGTAGCTCAGTGGTCCTCTGTAGTTCAGTAGTCCTCTGTAACTCAGTGGTCCTCTGTAACTTAGTAGTCCTCTGTAGTTCAATAGTCCTTTGTAACTCAGTGGTCCTCTGTAACTTAGTAGTCCTCTGTAACTCAGTGGTCCTCTGTAACTCAGTGGACCTCTGTAGCTCAGTGGTCCTCTGTAGCTCAGTGGTCCTCTGTAGTTCAGTGGTCCTCTGTAGATCAGTGGTCCTCTGTAGCTCAGTGGTCCTCTGTAACTCAGTGGTCCTCTGTAACTCAGTGGTCCTCTGTAGTTCAGTGGTCCTCTGTAGCTCAGTGGTCCTCTGTATTCAGTGTCTAAGCTCTGATCAGCAGTGCTACTGTGTCAGTAGTCCTTTTGGTCTCGTAATAGCTCTGTAGCAGTGGTCCGCACTGGTAGACTCAGTGGTCCTCTACATGCCCATGGTCTCTAGTAGTCAGTGGTGCTCTGGAGTCAGTGTCCTCTGTAACTCATGGTCCTCTGTAACTTAGTAGGTCCTCTGTACTCAGTGGGCTCTGTAGTACAATGTCCTCTAGTAGTGTCCCGTATAGTAGTCCTCTGTAAGTTCAGTAAATCTATGTACTTCATGAGTCCTCTGTAACTCAGTGGTCCTCTGTAACTTAGTAGTCCTCTGTACTCAGTGGTCTCTGTAGTTTCAGTAGGTCCCTACTGTATCCTAGTTCAGTGGTCCTCTGTAACTTAGTGGTCCTCTGTAGCTCAGTGTCCTCTGACTAGTGTCCTCTGTAGCTCAGTGGTCTCTGTATTCAGTGGTCCTCTGTAGCTTCAGTGGTCCTCTGTAACTAGTAGTCCTCTGTATCAGTGGTCCTCTGTACTCAGTGGTCCGTACTATGTCTTTCAGTGGTCCTCTGTAACTCAGTGGTACCTCTGTAGTTCAGTGGTCCTCTGTAGCTCAGTGGTCCTTTCGTAGTCTCGTATCAGTGTCCTCTGTAACTTAGTAGTCTCTCTGTAGTTCAGTGGTCCTCTGTAACTCAGTGGTCCTTACTTAGTAGTCCTCTGTACTCGTGGTCCTCTGTAACTCAGTGTCCTCTGTAGTTCAGTGGTCCTCTTAACTTAGTAGTCCTCTGTAGTCAGTGGTCCTCTGTAACTCAGTGCCTTGTAGTCAGTGGTCCTCTGTATAGTGTCTCTGTAGTAGTGCCTCTGTACTCAGTGGTCCTCTGTAACTCAGTGGTCCTCTGTAGTTCAGTGGTCCTCTGTAGCTTCAGTGGTCCTCTGTAGTTCAGTAGTCCTCTGTACTCAGTGGTCCTCTGTAAGCTTCAGTGTCCTCTGTAGTTCAATGTCCTTGTACTCAGTGGTCCTCTGTAATTAGTGTCCTCTGTAAGCTCAGTGGTCCTCTGTAACTCAGTGGTCCTCTGTAGTTCAGTGGTCCTCTGTAGCTCAGTGGTCCTCTGTAGTTCAGTGTCCTCTGTAGCTCAGTGGTCCTCTGACTCAGTGTTCGTCAGTGTCCTCTGTACTCAGTGGTCCTCTGTAGTTCAGTGGTCCTCTGTAGTTCAGTGGTCCTCTTATTGTAGTCCTGTCTCAGTGGTCCTCTGTAACTTAGTAGTCCTCTGTAACTCAGTGGTCCTCTGTAGTTCAGTAGCCTCTGTAACTCAGTGTCCTCTGTAACTTCAGTAGTCCTCTGTATTCAGTGTCCTCTGTAGCTCAGTGGTCCTCTGTATATGCTCTAGTAGTCTGGTCTCTGTACTCAGTGGTCCTCTGTAACTCAGTGTCCTGTACCTGTCTCTGTATTCAGTGGTCCTCTGTAGTTCAGTGGTCCTCTTGTTCAGTGGTCCCTGTAGCTCATGTGTCCTCTGTAGTTCAGTGGTCCTCTGTAACTCAGTGTCCTCTATAGTTCAGTGGTCCTCTGTAGTTCAGTGGTCCTCTGTAACTGAGTGGTCCTCTGTAGCTCAGTGGTCCTCTGTAGTTCAGTGGTCCTCTGTAGCTCAGTGTCCTCTGTAGTTCAGTGGTCCTCTGTAACTCAGTGGTCCTCTGTAGCTCAGTGTCCTCTGTAGCTCAGTGGTCCTCTGTAACTGAGTGGTCCTCTGTAGCTTCAGTGGTCCTCTGTATTCAGTGTCCTCTGTAGCTCAGTGGTGCCTCTGTAAGCTCAGTGGTCCTCTGTAGTCAGTGGTCCTCTGTAATCAGTGGTCCTCTGTAGCTCAGTGGTCCTCTGTAGCTCAGTGTCCTCTGTAGCTCAGTGGTCCTCTGTAGTTCAGTGGTCCTCTGTATCAGTGGTCCTCTCAGTGATCCTCTGTAGCTCAGTGGTCCTCTGTAGTTCAGTAGTCCTCTGTAACTCAGTGGTCCTCTGTAACTTAGTAGTCCTCTGTAGTTCAGTAGTCCTCTGTAACTCAGTGGTCCTCTGTAACTTAGTAGTCCTCTGTAACTCAGTGGTCCTCTGTAACTCAGTGGTCCTCTGTAGCTCAGTGGTCCTCTGTAGCTCAGTGGTCCTCTGTAGCTCAGTGCCCCTCTGTAGCTCAGTGGTCCTCTGTAGCTCAGTTGGTAGAGCATGTCGCTTGCAATGCCGGGATAGTGGGTTCGATTCCCGGGACCATAAAATGTATAAAATGCATAACATTTTGCACCCATGACTGTAAGTCGATTTGGAAAAAAAAGTGTCTGTCATAAAGGCATTTATATAGTATATGTTTTCTGACAGATGGCGTCACTCCTAAGCAATGCTTGTCCCTCAACTGACAGAGTCATCACACTCTCTGAGAATAGACAATACCTTATCATAAGACATACATGCTTATAACAACTTACAAATGTCATGTCATCTGAGATTGATGTGAAGTGTTTTAATGAAGTGAAGAAACAGAAGTCTATACTACAACACAAAACAGTCTGACCAGTAACGACCCTCTGTGATGCAGCAGGTATCCTTTGGATCACCATGGTTACCTCATGTACTCTTCTACTCCTTTCCTTGGCAGTCCAGACGAGCAAAACCCAATCACTATAAATATCCCATGAACTAGAGTCTATCTAGGATGCCGTCAAAGCCTTATAAACACAAATCAAATCCCTGCACGTGACTGATGATGATACTTGTCTTTGCTTTATTGTGAATGTCGCTGTGTGTGTGTGTGTGTGCGTGCATGCATGTGTGTGTGTGTGTGTGTGTGTGTGTGTGTCTGTGTGTGCGTGACACACACACACACACACACACACACACACACACACACACACACACACACACACACACAGTTAGAAAGCAACAGTGCATGGGAAAAGTGAAACAGTTAAATCAATCAAAGTGGAACTAAATGGTGACTGTGAAGGTATTTCTTAGTTCATGATGAACAAGGGCATTGAGAAGACAAGCTCTATAGTCCAAGCTGTGTCTAAAATGGAAAACTATGTGCACTATATGGGGAATAGGGTGATATTTGTATTTTTACACACACACACGCACACACACACACGCACACACACACACACACACACACACAGAGAGTCTGTAACACAAACAGCATCTGCAGGAGAAGTAGATGTAATGTATCTCATATTTCAAATTCCCAAAGTCTTTTACAGTGGTAAAAAAAAAAAAAACTTATTGGGGATAGTAAATGATTATGGGAATGTGATAGTAAATGATTATGGGAATGTGATAGTAAATGATTATGGGAATGGGATAGTAAATGATTATGGGAATGGGATAGTAAATTTAATAATAATAATATGCCATTTAGCAGACGCTTTTATCCAAAGCGACTTACAGTCATGCGTGCATACATTTTTGTGTATGGGTGGTCCCGGGGATCGAACCCACTACCTTGGCGTTACAAGCGCCGTGCTCTACCAGCTGAGCTACAGAGGACCACAATAAATGATTATGGGAATGTGATAGTACATTATTATGGGAATGGGATAGTAAATGATTATGGGAATGGGATAGTAAATTATTATGGGAATGTGATAGTAAATTATTATGGGAATGTGATAATAAATTACTTTGGGAATTTGAAATATGAGATACATTACATCGGCTCTACTTCTCCTGCAGATGCTGTGTGTGTGTGTTTGTGTGTGTTTGTGTGTGTGTCTGTGTGTTTGTGTGTGTGTGTAAAAAATACAAATATCACCCTATTCCCCATATAGTGTACATAGTTTTCCATTTTAGACACAGCTTGAAGAAATACCTTCACAGTCACCATTTAGTTCCACTTTGATTCATTTAACTGTTTCACTTTTCCCATGCACTGTTGCTTTCTAATGGTGTGTGTGTGTGTGTGTGTGTGTGTGTGTGTGTGTGTGTGTGTGTGTGTGTGTGTGTGTGTGTGTGTGTGTGGGACTAAGAAGACAGGGACTAATTTGTAAAGAAGTCACCTTGGGGAGCATCAGCTGACACCTCAATCTCTCTTTCACACACACTTACACACATACACAGACACACACAGACACACACACACCAGAGAGAGAGAGAGAGAGAGAGAGAGATAAACTGCCAAAATAACCCAATATAACACATCCCAAACCAAAGGTCATTACAGGAACAAAAGACAGGAGAGAATAGAGAAAAACAACCTTAACCTTGGTTAGGGTCCACAACTGTCTCTCTGTGCCCGGTCTGTGTCCCGTCGAAGGATAGATAGACTATTTGGCAATTTGCGTCATGTGCCAGCGCTTGGATTGCCTAAAGATGGCGCAGCGGTGACTGCATGCTATTTGAGTATCCCGTTCACACACTCTCCAGTTTCATCGTAAACAACTGGACATCTCTCTCTCCATGCTGTTGCGACATTCACTGTCGGTGGTCTTGAAATGGTCGATTTGCTATTCCATAGTGACATAGGATCATTTTAAAGCTTGTTTTATTAATTTATTCGACTCAAAACGAGTTTGTGACTGACAGACAGCGGCATTCAGACAGAAAACGAGACTGTGGTGCTGTGCGTTGGTCGAAATAAATAAATAACGGGTTTCTCCATTCTGGCTTCTGGCAGTGGACGCGCGAGATGCTGCCGCTGCATTGATAAGAGTTGGTCGAAGGGATTCGCACAGAAGTGACGAGGCAGCTTCAGCCAGGGCTTAGGCTACGGATAGGATACTAACCTAGCACTGATTGTGATAGACTGAGTGAACGTTGTTTTATGACAGACAGCAAGAAGATGCACTGACTGACTAAGGACCGGAAGAGAAAATGCATCGTTTGAGAGTCGAAATATGAACGCACATTCCACTTTGGTTTTCTTTTATTTGCAGGCGTTGAGACGCAGTGATATATTTCCGTGGATCTGAGCGGTTTATGCAACTTTTCCTGGTCCCTTTTCCATGATAACGGCAGAACCGGGCTTGATTTACCGGGAATATCACCAGGATCATGTGGACCCCGACGGAAGAGGAGAAAATCGGAGTTGGTGAGTTGATTAAATTCAGTTTGTTTTATTGTTAAAAAAAATAAATATATATATTCAATGAGTCTGTCCTTCCCCTTATTCTCAAGAAATGACTGGCGGTTCAATACTGGAATATAATTTATATGCAGCCTATGTAAGCTATATTCTGGTGATGGGAGCACCGAACCTAGACACGCGTTGACGTTTCTGCACCTTTTTCCAATCCAAAACCATCACGTTATCTCGCGTCTATAAAAGCCATTCGACATTGTACTAGGCTATTCCGTTTTTAACAATGCACAAGTTGGGCATGTTGGACTTCGTGATGTCATTGTTTTAATGATCTGTATGTCACGTAATCAAAACTACTGTTTCATCTCCAATAGAGGGCGCCAAAAACAACACAGCTCACCTCTACAACAGGTGTGATGCCCAGCTCAATGGCTATGAGAGATCAAACTGGGCACAAACTGGTTAAATCAACGTTGTCAAATCAAATAAAAAAACGTAGTTTCAAAGTACTTTGTCAATGTATTGTGACGTGGAATCTACGTGGAAAATACATTGCCTATGAAAAAAGTCATCAACATAAACTGTTGTTTTGAGAGTAAAATTTCAACCACAGGATTATGTCGTCTTGGTAACCAATTTTTAACATAAACAAACCTTGTATAAAATATGTTGAATTTGTACCTTTGACATCAGATTTTTAACATAATATCCATTATATGGAAGAAAAAACAACAACAACAGGCTGGACAGCACCTCCTACTGGAGAGTTTATGGATCTACAGCTATCCCTTCAGTCTCCCATCCAGGGTCCTATTCAAGCCCAGCCTAGCTTTGATATTTATCACTGACTACTACCAATGTGCTATTGTGAGAATGATTGTTGAGAAATCTCCACTTAATAGATTTCACTGTTGCTATCAAAGTCATTACAAAGAGTAGGTTCAACAGAGCAAATGAAATGTAACCATACTTTATCAATTATACACTATGTATACAAAAGTATGTGGAAACCCCTTCAAATTAGTGGATTCGGCTATTTCAGCCACACCCGTTGCTGACAGGTGTATAAAAACGAGCACACAGCTATGCAATCTCCATAGACAAACATTGGCAGTAGAATGGCCTTATTAAAGAGCTCAGTGACTTTCAACGTGGCACTGTCATAGGATGCCACCTTTCCAACAAGTCGGTTTGTCAAATTTCTGCCCTGCTAGAGCTGCCCCGGTCAACTGTAAGTGCTGTTATTGTGAAGTGGAATCGTCTAGGAGCAACAACGGCTCAGCCGCGAAGTGGTAGGCCACACAAGCTCACAGAACATGCGTAGCACATAAAAATCGTCTGTCCTCGGTTGCAACACTCACTACCGAGTTCCAAACTGCCTCTGGAAGCAACGTCAGCACAATATCTGTTAGTCGGGAGCTTAATTAAATGGGTTTCCATGGCCGAGCAGCCGCACACAAGCCTAAGATCACCATGTGCAATGCCAAGTGTCGGTTGGAGTGGTGTAAAGCTCGCCGCCATTGGACTCTGGAGCAGTGGAAACGCATTCTCTGGAGTGATGAATCACGCTTCACCATCTGGCAGTCCAACGGATGAATCTGGGTTTGGCGGATGCCAGGAGAACGCTACCTGCCCCAATGCATAGTGCCAGCTGTAAAGTTTGGTGATGGAGGAATAATGGTCTGGGGCTGTTTTTCATGGCTCGGGCTAGGCCCCTTAGTTCCAGTGAAGGAAAATCTTAACGCTACAGCATACAATGACATTCTAGACGATTCTGTGCTTCCAACTTTGTAGCAACAGTTTGGGGAAGGCCCTTTCCTGTTTTCAGCATGACAATGCCGCCGTGCACAAAGCGAGATCCATACAGAAATGGTTTGTCAAGATCGATGTGGAAGAACTTGACTGGCCTGGATGGACGCAAGTCCCCCGCAGAAATGTTCCAACATCTAGTGGAAAGCCTTCCCAGAAGAGTGGAGGCTGTTATAGCAGCAAAGGGGGGGACCAACTCCATGTTAATGCCCATGATTTTGGAATGAGATGTTCGACGAGCAGGTGTCCACATACTTTTGGTCATTCAGTGTATATCATCAATGATGCTATTTAGGCCGACATAGCATTAGGGAAGACATCAACAGCTATTGTTTAAATTCAGCCCAGGATTCAACTAAAAATAGACAATACAAAAAGGCCTTTTCAACTTTGGTTGATTTCAAATGTAATCTACAAATTAATAATAAGTATGTTGGATTCACATCTCCATCTCAACCAAAAATACAATTGAAAGAAACTGTATTTGAGGTGCAATTTAAATGTTTTATTTGATTTGATTTAGTCCTATTCTTTAACATAGATGTACGGCTTAAATGGAGTCGGGAATCCAACATATCAATTATTAATTTGTAGACAAACTGGAATTAAAGCCAGTCTCAGTGCCACAGATGGAGGTATCCAAGCAGAAGATACATTTCCTTCAAAAGTTGATACTTTTACAATATTGGTAAAAAGCCATAATAACTTTGTCGACAAGTTAACAAATTATATGTTGGATTCACGTCTTCATCTCCCCCCAAAATACAAGTTAAAGAACGGGATTAAAAGCCAGTGGCTCAGATGGAACTATCCAAGCAGTAGATACTTTGCTCTGCTTTTGAATGGTTGAAAGCTCAGTGATAACACATTGGAAGGTGACAACTAAAACCAAAAGTCTGACATGGAAAATTTGGTTGTGCTTTTAGATGGTCGAAAGCATAGTGATAACACATTGGAAATTCAACACACTTTTGGCTGTGTTTTTTGAGTAGTTGAAAATAGGTTGGAATCTCGTTGATCGACGTATCTAACAAATATTACCCAATACTCAATGTTGACATGACGTGGTGTGCCCAGTGGGATAGGACTGCCGAAATGTGAACGCTATTCTATTCTATTCAAATATATTATAGTGTACTACACATCTTTCTGGAGGGGCCAGTATGCCTACTGTGACCAAACAGCTGACAGTATTGATCCTGAGCTGCTGATATAGGCTAGAATCCAGGGTCATAGGTCACTGACGATATTACTGATTAATTCATAGTGACAATATGGATTAAGAGTGGATATGGAACGGCTAGACCTCCATGTAGCATTAAGTAACAGACAGGGGTGTCTGCTCTGTCCCAAACTGACAAACCATGGGAATGCGAAGCCATTGAGCTGGGAAAGGAACTACTGTTTTGCTGACAACAGCCTGCTTAGCAAGTCCAATCCATGGCAGCAGAGTATCACTTGGAATGGCGGGTCATTGGAGTGGAATAGGAAGCTTCTTACCACATTATATTATTAATACACAGACCATCACAATTTATAAAGCAGAAACAAACCCAACAAAACCACATATTTCATAGGGACGGAGAGAGAGAGAGAGAGAGAGAGAGAGAGAGAGAGAGAGAGAGAGAGAGAGAGAGAGAGAGAGAGAGAGAAGAGGGAGAGAGAGAGTGAGAGAGAGAGGAGAGAGAGAGAGAGAGAGAGACGAGAGAGGAGCAGAGCAGAGACAGAGACAGAGCAGAGACAGAGCGAGAGAGCGAGAGAGCTGAGAGGAGAGAGGAGAGCCAAAGGGTCTGTCAGAGATTCTGGCTGAGCATTGAAAACACTGAATGAATGGCTCTTTGTAAGGGAATGGCTCTCTGAATGCAGTTCTAGCCCTTCAGACAGACAGGCCAGCAAACACTGTTCTCACCACACAGTCAAAGACATGCCTGAGACAGAGAGGAAGGCCATATATTGGTTCTAACCATATGCTCAGTAGAGTACAGTTAAAATGGTATATTGCTCTACTGTCGTGCAAACGTTTGCACTTTAGAAATGTGAACATAAACCAGCGCTGTTGACTGGAAAATAAAGTATTCTATTCTATTCTATTCTATTGTATTCTATTCTGTTCTGTTCTATTCTATTCTATTCTATTCTATTCTATTCTATTCTATTCTATTCTGTTCTGTTCTGTTCTATTCTGTTCTATTCTATTCTATTCTATTCTATTCTGTTCTATCCTGTGTGGAAATTGACATTGTGGGTGGCAGATATTCAGCCTCATTGCCTCCAGGGAGTTAATTTCCCCCTCTAATCACTTCAGACAGCGAGGAGTTAACACACATATAACAGTTATCTTATGTTCCCTCATTTCATCTGTATTGGGGTGGATGGTTAATACAGAGGCTCTCATACTGTACTGAGTCTAAAGGGAGCCTGTGAATATTCAGGACCGTTTCATGA